ATTCAGATTAAAAAAACATTGAACTAAAGGCTGTAATGTAACAAAATAGGTAAAAAGCCAAGGGGGGTGAATATTTTTGCAAGGTACTGTATGTACATATTTACATATATATCAACATATACATACATATATACATATATATCGATATAGATATAAAAATATATTAATTCATTCAAATCTTATTATTTTGTTATGACAGTTGCACTAACAAGATTAAATGTAAGTAATTCAAATGGATTCATTAAATAAAAATAATTTATTTACTAATTACTTTTTTAAAACATAGTAAAATTTTGAACAGTGAAAGCAAAACTGCCAACAAAAAGGTTTGAAATGTCCTACGCTGGAATGTGTTGAAGGAAATGGTGCTGTATGTGCAAAAAAGCCAAGTAATCCCAGCTCACCCAGGGAGAAGCCATCTTTGTGGACCAGCCAGACTTTCTCTGATCCATACCAGGCTTGCTCTGCTGCGATCTGCTCCTCTGTCTTCACCTGAGGGACAGAAGGGACAAGGAGAAAAATGAATAGACAGCAGGGACGAAGGCGTTACATTGGCCAAGCCACATCACCGGACCACTCATAGTAACACTGTGTCTTTGTGAAAACACTAGTGTTTCCAGTCCGACACCAGCACATGCTAAAAGGTTATGGAGGAAAGGTTGTCAAGATGATGACCATGCAGTGATCTCACAGTTCACTGAGCACTGGATGCTCCTTCAGGGTGGCGGACAACAATGTGTGTTTGTGGGTGAGAAATTTTAAACCAGTCATTATAACAAGCCTCAGGGGTGTGTGAAGGGTGCTCAATGGCTAACCCTGGTAACCAAAATGCCATGGATTACCTCGGTTCAGTGAACACAAAGGGGACAAAAGTGAGGAAGGAACACAATAATAAAACAAAAATAATAAGCAAATAAACAAAAGAAAAAAGGGAGATATTTTTGGATGTAAAACCAAAATTTGCTAAATCAAATTTAGCAAATAAGTCATAACTGTTTGTTTTAATGGGAAAAAATAACAAGACACACTGCAATACACACTGCACTTCACAAGCAAAGGGAGAGAGCACAACACAGCACAACACTCCACAGTGCAGGGGCATCATGGGATATGAGCTGGTGGTGAATTACACTCAGGCACAGTGCAGGCCAGACCTGGGATTGCTTAGCCGCAGCATGAGATGCCTGAAGGAGGGCCACAGGGTCCTCTTCCACTGATCCCTGGTGATTTGGCCAGCATGAAGAGGTCAAAGGTCACAGTTATATATGAGCAACAAATGTTGCACAGACACACATACAAATAGATCAGCGTACAGATAAATAGAATGTCATTGGCACAGCTGTAGACCATTAATGCATCTGAACAAAGGTTGTCATACTTATCCAGCACTCCTGTGAGAGAGAAATCAGGGTTACTCTGCAAGCATGATCATCTATGAAAGAGCAGTTGGATCCACTTAATATATTACACTTTTACTGCTGAAATGTTCAGATTCATGGAATGAAATGGTTGCATGACGAGTGACGACCATAAAAAGAGTTGGAGCACCTAAACGTAATAATTATCCACGCTAATAACACTCACACATGCAGGTATCCTGATGTACCGCTCCGTCATCATACCAGTCTTTCATCCAAAAGACACAAAACCCATGCAGGTTGCTTCTATCAGCTTGATGTGTCATGAAAAGAAGCAGTTGGGTCATGCCAATGTGTTACAAATTGCAGCTTATGTTAATGACGAAACAAGCAAAGACCTAGCAAAAAGCTTCTGACTGAGTAATTCACACTTAATGGCTTCTGTAGAAAAACCAGACACTGCTTAGAAAGAAGATTTTAGGGGTCAACAGCAGGTTTGGTTTTTGGTGAAGTTAAGAGCTGTCAATTTCATCTCTGTGTTTCCAGTACAAATACAAGTTCAGGACGTTAAACCTCAACTACCTTAAATACTAGCAATAGCAATAGCAAAGGAGGACACTGCTTGTCTAGCTCTGTCAAAAGTGAAAAAATAAATTTTCTAAAATCTCTTAACGATATAATTTTCTCAATTAATCAATTAGTTGTTTGGTCTATAAAATATATATAAAAATATAAAAGAAAATGGTGAAAAATATTTATCAGTTTCTCCCAAATCCGTATGTGATGCCCTCAAATGTCTTGTTTTGTATCCAAAGAGTATTCAGTTTACTGTCATAGAGGACTAAAGAAAGCAGAAAATATATCACATTTGAGAAGCTGAAATCAGAGAATTTGGATGTTTTTCCTTAAACGATTCATTGCTAAATTCAAAATAGTTGGTGATGTCAATTCAAAGTTAGTCGCAGCTTAAAACAAACGTTTGGAAATACTGCAGAAAAGGGATAATGGGGGGGTAAAGTTAGGAGGATTCCGGGACTTACAATCCGACAAGCCACACGAGTACAAATTCCAGCCAGGAGGCTAAAAGAAGGAAGGCTGGAGGGCTGCGGTACCTGAAGACAATCCTGGGGGCGGGGCCGCAGGGGCAGGGGCTTTGGACAGAGGTACGGAACACTGACTGCTGGCTCCAGCTTAACCACAAAGCAGCCACAGAGAGACAACGACAGCCAGCAAAAGCAGTGTGAAGTAATGGCATGGAGAGAAGGGAGGGTGGAGGAGGGGAAGAGTGGGAGAAAGATACAAGAGAAAGTCAACATGGAACTTTGGATGAAGAAAATGCATGCACATGGAAACTGACAGCAACAATGGAAAAGTGAAAATGGCCTTTGCAATGAGTAAGCATGGGATGAAAATGATTCCTATACACTGACAATGTTTTGAAAGTGCAGATAGTTCACACAACTACAGTTATTGTTACTTTTGTTGACATTAGTAAGAATGTTAACTGAATTGGAATGTGCGATAAAATGTTTGGGGGGGGGGGGGGATCCAGAGTGCTGTAAATTGAATAGCTTCCCAATCATCAATAGATGGATATGTACTGAAGCTTAATGTACTCGCCACAGGAGTGGAGACCATCACTCTGGTTGGGTGGGAGGTTTATGGTTATGGGCAGTTTCCCCCATTCACATTGTCTATGCCTTTCCAATCTGTTTCAGAGTTTTTCCCCCGTACCAAGTCCAGAATGCCATAAGTCTGATATTTTATATGACTTGAGGTTTTTGCTGGATCAATCTGTTTGACTGCTGTTCATAATATATTATCTTGAACCTTGGTGCTATCAAGTGACCAAGTTTTGAGCAGAACAATTAGTAATCAATGATGTGTCGATCAACAGAGCATGTTGCACAGCGTGTAGAAACTTTGAAAACTTGTTATTTCTGGGTCGGTAAAAAATAAAGCCAATCAAAACCCAATCCTGCTTTTTGCTGTACTCTGATGTCCTGCCTGTCCTAATGTAAGCTTAAAAACTTAATAGTTTAAAACTTCAGGGGCCTTTCAGTATTTGAGTGTTGTAGTCAAACTTTCCAATGGGTCTTGGTCTTCAAAAGCAATGTAAACGAGTCCCAAATATTCAGCTTGGGGACTGAGATCCCTTGAAAAGACATTGCTGAATGGTCTTACATGGTTAAATATGGGTTAATAATATTCACTTTCCAAAAGGAGCCATAGTTACAGAGAAGTTAGAGGCTAATAAGAAGTAGGTAAAGACAAAGCCCCCAAGACAAGACCATCAATAATACACAGATGGGCAGCCGGGTGATTTTACAGGGGCATTGAAGATCCTCCATCAGACGTCTCTGGAGCCTCCTCGGTGGGACTGAGTCGGTGGCCTCCTACAGGTTTCAAAGCAGCAACACATTACACTAAGCCCACTGATACAAGATTAGCAAAGCCCATGACTGCCACCACACGCACACACCATAAACAAAAATTACAAAACATATGTAGCCTATCAGCCACAACTGTCTTTATCATCATGTTTTTCCTAACTGGAGACTCTGCGCACACACACCCACACACACACACACACACACACACACACACTGCTTCATCCCCACATTAGAGCAGTTGGGGTTATTGTTGAAACTGATTTGAAAAGAAGAAAATGTTAGGCAGTAAATAAAGAGTGAATGTTCAAAGGGTGCTGTCAACTACCATTACACAGAGAAATCGAACAATCCCACACACCACAAAACTCACAACCTCAGGTTAAAAAGAGAATATTTGCAAGACACAAGTTGCAACAAACCAAAACTGAGCAAGTGAATGAACAGAGTAGCAGAAATCTCTGTTAAATCATGCAACAACAAAAAAAAACATTGCTTGTTCTTAGGCCCTTGTAGGGGCTAACCCACCTATCCTAATGAAACTCACAATATTTATTATTAAAGAAGAAGCAGCTTATACTGTTATTGATCCCTAGGGGGAAATTGTTCTTATTCACTCTTTTTTTTGTACACACACACCACACACACACACACACACACACACACACCACACACACACACACACACACACACATGCACTTGTGGACATGCAAAGGGGAGAGATGGTGGAGTGTATGAAGAGGCTGCAATGTTACCCGGCCCCTCTGAAAAAGATTCCTATACACTGACAATGTTTTTGAAAGTGCAGATCAGTTCACACAACTAAACAGTTAATTGTTATTGTTGACATTAGTAAGATGTTAACTGATGGAAATGTGCGATAAAAGTGTGGATCCAGAGTGCTTGTAAATTGAATAGCTTCAATCATGCAATAGATGGATATGTAACTGAGCCTCTATGGTACTCGACCACCAGGAGTGGAGACATCACTCTGGTTGGTGGGAGGTGTTTATGGTTATGGGCAGTTTCCCATTCACCAATTGTGCTCATGCTTTCCATCTGTTTCAGAGGTTTTTCCCCGTACCAAAATCCAGATGCCAGTAGTCTGATATTTTATATGACTTGTAGGGTTTTTCTGGAGTCAATCTGTTTGACTGCTGTTCATATATATATCTTGGAACCTTGGTGCTATCAAGTGAACCAGTTTTGAGCAGAACAATAGTATCAATGATGTGTCATTAACAGAGCATGTTGCAGCAGTAGAAAACTTTGAAACTGTTTTATTTCCTGGGTCGGTAAAATAAAGCCAATCAAAACCCAATCCTGTTTTTGCTGTACTACCTGATGTCCTGCCTGTCCTAATGTAAGCTTAAAAACTAATAAGTTTTAACTCAGGCCTTCAGTATTTGATGTGTAGTAAACTTTCCAATGGTTTCAAAAGCAATGGTAAAGAGTCCAAATATTCAAGTCTGGGAACTGCAGATTCCCACTTGAATAAAGCAGGTTTTTGGGGTTATAGGTTGCTTGCTCAAGGGCACCCTCTCCCAGCTACCAGTCCACCACTCCATTTTTGTTTCTGTGGACTTGAGCCATGCGACCCTCTGGGTTCCCAAGCCAAGTCCCTACACACTGAGCTACTGCCGGCCCGAAAGATTTGGTCACAAAGTTTGAGAGTCTACAAAAAAGTTTTTTTGCAACCACATCTATAATCTGTCGTCTGGAGAGTTGTGGCCTGTTCATGTTTTTTTGTCAGCAGTTCCTCTCAAAAGAATGCAGCACTGCAGTAATTGCTTACATGATCTCCTTGTTATTACTAGACAAGCTAAACTACTGAAGTCCTCGTTTGGAGCGTCTCTGGGGGAACTCTGCCTTTGGTAAACCAGGCTTATGAGCAGCTATGTTGATATCTCACAGGTGATATAAAGTAAGCAACTTGTCCCTGTCTTGATGGTAAAACACCTGCCACAGAAGGTTTAAGGCTCATAAATCTCAACAGAAGAGCTAAAAAAGCCTTTTCCTAAATCTGCAAAACCACAAAAAACCTCATGTTGTTTCTAACAAATAAACAGCTGGCTGTTGACAGTTTGTGAGGAGGAATTAAGGGTTATGTGACTGAAAGGTCACAGAATGGGAAATTGTGGTCAGAAATGTAAACACATACCTCCTATCCCTCAGCAACTACCGGTTGAGGTGCCTAAGAGTACAATAGAATAGTTGCTCTAAACTAAAGCAAAAAGAACAAAAAAGCTGTATTGCCCAAGCTAAAGTCCCACCTGTTAACCAATCGACCCCATCCAACTATGACTGTTTGCCCCTACCCGAACTGTGGCTCAACACAAAAACTAAAATTTGCAAGGTACGTTTCCCTAACTTTTCAAAAGTAAAACATATTTTATTGTTCCTTTATCTTCCAAATTCCCTTGCTTACAATGCTATCAAGTGACTGTAGAAGTGTGCAACAACCGAGGTTACACATACGTCTGTGGTGTTTATTTTAAACATGCATTTCAAAATGGCCATGGCATTTTCCCCCCACACCAATGTCCCAAATGTCCGACAAGACATGCCAAAGTGTGGACACTGTACCTCCTTGCTGACTGACAGCAGGTTGCTGAATGGGAATGAGCTCCTGAGGGGGAGACACTGCACGCAGGATGGGGTGGGGGAGCAGGGCTCCACAGAAGTTGGGCAAGTGGAGAGGATTTAGGAGCTGGAAATAAAAACGTAATGGAGGAGAAGAGGGAGGGAAGATTTTTGGGCGCACTGATGTGTAGAAAGGAGGTTTTGCAGGGGTGGGTTTGGCAAGCGGGCCAGCCCGGTTTGGGTGCAGGTATGAAGCGCAGGAGGTGGAGACAAGGGGCCCCGGGCCTTGGGCCCGGGATAAAGCCAACCAACCGGTGGGAAGCGATGTAGGTCTGGAATGAGTCGATTTGAAGAAGGCCTGATGCGAACACTCCAGAAGCCATGCTGGTTGGCGTTTACAGAATACCCACAAGGAGATTTGATTTCCTGTAAACTGGACCGAGAGCCTTGTCGGTTTGGTGATTTGACCTCTTGTGGTTTTAGGATGGTTTTATGCCTCCCTCTCTTTTCCCTCCTGGCTCAACTTTTTCCTCTTTCTTCTCAATTTTTCTTCCCTCTAACCCATTATTTTTTTCTGGGCGTTACATCCTTGCGTATTCGTGGGCGGGGTTCCTCCCGTCCTGCCTCTGACCATGAAGTTTGTCCACCTCCTCGCGAAATGTCATCTTTCTCGTTCTGTTTTGATGACGTCGTGTTTAAAGGAGAACCCTGACAGCCAGCTGGGGTCTTAGACACTGAAGGTGCTGGCAGCTGGTTTTAACTGTTCAGCCACAGGTTTTGGCTGCTTCCGGAGCTTTGTCACTGATGGTTGCGTTGGCACGGCAA